AAGGCTAGGGTTTGGGGTGAGAAGTACTTCTTGAAGAACTTTGATAGGTTGGTTAGGGCAAAGACGGTAATAGATCCCCATAATATTTTCAATAATCAGCAGGGGATTCCTCCAATGAACTCTTCATTGGCACCACTAAAATGCCCGCCTTTAGCAATTTGGGAGTACGTCTAAAATTAATTATCAATATTTGATGAAGGTGTTACCGTAAAATACTTCGTTATTTGTATTATGAGCTAAATTAAAGTTATGTTTAGGTTACATTTTCACAACTGTCTCGCCTTAAAATTAAAACCTTTCAGCTAAGCAGTTGTTATAACGTAACTTTAGGTGTTGAATCTACAGAGAAGTTAAGTTAAATCAACAAAAAAGATTGTCACAATAAAAAATTAAATTAAAAGATGAATTCTAAAATAAAGAATAAAAATATTTAAATAAAATATGATAATTATAAATAATTGAAAATAATATTATGATGAACAAGATTTTAAGGTTCATTTAATTGATTTGTTTAATTGTTATAAATTTTGATTTCTATTTATTATTCAATTTCATGTTTCACATCTAAATAAACAATCAGAAGATTTAACTGTGAAGACCAACAATAATAACAAATATATTTATTTTGAGAGAAATTAATTTCAATAAAGAACAAACTAATTTATCATTACAAGCTATCCGATAGCGATAATATATCTAATCGACAATACTATAGTAAAGGATCAACCTACAAAACAAATCATCAATCAATTATATTCTAACAAATTATACATAAAAAAAGCATGATTAATCTTATATGAAATTTTATGAATATAATTTTTAGGGTTTTTAAATCTGAAAAATAATTAATATCTCTAAAAAATAAAATTAAACAATAAAATCTATAAAGAAATCAAAATAAAATAACAAATCAAACTTTTCGATCAAGATTCTCCTTAGTTTTGTTGAAAATTTAATTATCTTTTGATATAATTCTCTAATTTTGGAGAAGAAAAATAAAAATTTTAAAATTACTTCTCTAGATGTCAAACCTAATTTTAAAGATTCCTATTTATATTAAAAATAAAATAAGAGTGTTTGGTAACTAGTATAACAATACGAGGAATTAATTTTTTTTCTTTTTCTTGCCGCACAACTTTGTGGGACAGGGTTTGGAACCTCAACGGGGGTGCGTAACCCTTGATGCTTCTGTTTTGTACAGCACTGCCCAGGGGTTGGAACCTGAAACAGGTTGTCGAACCCTGATGGTACTGGAAATCCTTTCGCAACATATTTTTACACAATAAACTTTATTAAAAATATCACATATTAAAGTAATAGATACGTACTGCCTTACGTGTGTTTCACTTTTTAAGTGACGAAAAAC